AGCATTTGATTCAATAGAACATGATAGAAATTGATCAAGGATGAAAAAAAGAGGGAAGAAATTAACATTGAAAAAATTGAATCAATGCAGGGAAAACTAAATCACTGGCTTACTAGAGATTTAACATTTTTTGGGAGAAATTTGTTATCAAAAGCAGACGGTATCTCAAAATTAATATACCCATGCCAGTCGTTATATATTGTGAGATTTCATAACACTTTTAAGCAACTTTTGTTAAAGTTAAACTCATCATTCTATCAATGTGCAGAAGCCTGTACTTTTCCACTTCATGTTTCGTCTATCTGAAGGCCAAGCTACATGGCACCGTGGCAGCTGCTGATTGGAGGACTCCATGTCCTGTATACACTTGCATTCTGTGTTCGTGTTGTTCGTGCTGTCTCTACCATCGACAATAAAACATGTCTTCTGTCTGAATTAAAGACGCGATCCCAGACTTTGTCATCTTCTTCAATATTCACCCAAAAAATACTAAAAAGATCAATTCTATTATTCATAAGTTTATCTGGAGGAATAAGACACACTATTTAAAAAAATCCCAACTGGTGAAGGAACCCAATCAAGGAGGCATGAAGTCTATTGATTTTGAAGCAATGTTGGGAACTTTCAGATTAAAATGGTTGAAAGAATTTCTGTCAAGCCAGATTCACGTTGGTTTCACATCCCTAGAAACATTTTTAAAATGGTTGGTGGATTAGATTTCTTATTTAAATGTGATTTTGAAATTTCAAAGCTGCCTATAAAATTGTCTGAATTCCACAAACAAGTACTGTATCACTGGAAAATGATATTTACCTACAACTTCACCCCTCACTGTGCCACCCTGTGGAATAATAGAGTATATTTCTATCAAACAAAAAAACTTGTTTTAATCAAAACTGGTTTGACCGAAATATTATCTTTGTGCATGATATTCTGGATACAAGTGGTCAAATATTAAATTTAAATGACTTAAATAATAGATATAATTTTCAGTGCTCTCTTAAAGATTACAGAAAAATCTGTAAAGCAATTCCAATTCCTTTATTACAATTGATTAGAAATACTATTCAATATTCTACGGTCCAAATAAAATTACCTGAATTGAAAATTGATAGCTTAAAAATCACAGATAAGAAATGGGATAACAAGCATTTGAATAAGTTGTATAAAAATACTTTATATTATGATTATGATAAAAAAGTCCATTATAAAATGTTTGAAAATCCTATAGAAGATGGGAAAAACTGGAAATTTGTAAAATGGCCTGTATTGCCTAAGATAAAAGAAATGCATCCATCCATCCATCCATTTTCTTCCCCTTAATCCATTTCTGGGTCGGGGGGGGGTGACAGTCAGAGCTGCACCCAGTACACAGAGCACCAGCCCCTCACTGATCCTCCTGCAGGTGGTGAGTCCACAGGAGCAAAAGAAATGCAATTTAAGATAATTAACAACTATTATCCATCTGCTGAGACACTGAGGGGTCGATTTGGTTTTGAAGTTGAACCATGCGAGTTTTGCCAGCAGGAGCCAGAATCAAACATCTATTTGTATCCTGCTCTAAATCAAAACAATTCTGGGATGATATTCATAATTGGCTAAATATAAAAATTTAAAATTTAACACACTTTACAGAAGAAGATATTCTTGTATATAAAAGTAATGTTACTAAAGACTATGTGACAATTGTTAATATTGTTTTAATAATTGGTAAATATCATATCCATAAAAGCAAATGGAAAAAGAACCTGCCAAACATAACATGTTTTAAAAACGAATTTAAAATGTATTTGTCCTCTCTGAAAATATGTAAAGAAACCAATCTGAAAGCTAATCAAATCTACCAGTCTGCTGAAAATCTACTTCTGTGTTAAGACATTGAACAGTGTGTCATATGTTTTTTGTGTCTATTTTGTGAATTTGTATTTTCATTTAATTTTTGTTTTTTATTATTTCTTGAAGCCTTGCCTTGAAATTGGTTGTCTCTACGAGAGTTTGTATTGTTTTACATTTTGAATAATAATAATAATAAAAAAAACAAGCCATTAATTTGAATAGGGCGCCATCTTGGATCACCGGGGCTTAGAACTCAATGCAAATTAAAACAGCTTGACCTCAGCTGACAGAGAACCTACAGCTTTCATTAAGGTCGGATTTTGTGGGGATTTTAGTGCCCCTTGTCATCCTGAACTTTTTTTCTTTTTAAATCAATAGGTTTTCTTTTAATCTTCACTTTAGTGCAACAAACTCTGCTCTCTTTTTCCTGCTCTTCCGCCGCTCTAGCATCCGCAGCTCGCTGATTGGTCAAGACGTTGCCAAGCCCCTCTGCTCGCGTGCATGAGAACCATACGAGCGTGCGTTCCTCGCGTGAACGCGCTCCATTCGGCTCTGTTGATGACAGAGGAGCGAGGGAGGAAACTGAACCGAACTGACCAGATAAACACGAAATGTACATTGACAGCATTGTTGTGGTTATTGTTAGCTTCATTAAGAGTCTATGTATGGTCTTTCCTACAGCGTTTGGAGTCGTGTGAATTCGTATGACAGTCATTTATACCAATATGAGTACAATAAACATAGCTATTGACTTTACAGCGTCCATATCAAAACCGAACTCAAACGTGATGATTACACAAGAGCTGGCGAGAGAGTTTAGGTATTCACCATGAATGTTGTAACCCTGCAAGTCAAAGGCAGCACAGACACACACATTTTAAGTAAATGCATTCATGTTTTGCTGTAATACATGTGGCAAGTGCTAATGCAGATTAGGATTCACATTGTAATTTAAAATAAATAAATTTTGTTGCTTAGTTCGATCGCCCTTCAGTTTTCTACTCATGGTCATTGTAAATCAAAAATGTACAAATCTCATCTTAATTACATAAAATCGAAACATATTTAACAACAACAAATGCAACTTGTTTTTTATAATTTAATTTGAAAGTATAAATATGATAACTTATAAATAAATACACAGTAACATAATTTCCAGAGTTAAGCAAATGAAATAGATATACATACTTGAATATCCTATTATAGACAGCTGAAACAAATACGTGGCTTAACTAGTTTTGTTTTATTTAACCAGAAAAGTCCCATTGAGATAAAAAACCCCTTTTTCAAGGGAGTCCTGAATATATACTCTACCGTTCAAAAGTTTGGGGTCACATTGAAATGTCCTCAATGTTGAAGGAAAAGCTGTAGATAACTTTAAACTAGTCTTAACTGTAAAGAAATACACTCTGTACACTGCTTATGTGGTAAATGACTGCTGTTCTAGCTGCAAATGTCTGGTTTTTGGTGCAATGTTGTAATTGCTGCAAATGGAGGATTCTTTGACAAAAGCAAAGTTGGATGCAAAACAAATCTTATTTCTAATACAAATCATTATTTCTAACGTTGTCAATGTCTTGACTCTATTTTCTATTCATTTCACAACGTGTGGTGGTGAACAAGTGTGACTTTTCATGGAAAACACACACACACATATATATATATATATACATACATAATGTGTGTGTGTATATAGAGAATAATACTTATTAATTACGTTAATATAATAATTACAATTCACGAGGACAAAAGACTAAATCATAGCTTTTTGATCTATCCACAATGGTCTTAATTATCTTGCAGTACTTGTTAACACATCACTGACATTTTGCTTAAAACACGACGGCCTACAGGTGAATGCCACAGTATAAGCGTTACGAAAAAGTATATAATCATTGTACATTTAGCTTATCATAAATACTTAGTAGATAATGATTAAGAATCAACAACAAGAAGGCTCTGTCATACTGCTCTACACCATCTTAAAATAATTGATCAATTGTACATATATTTTAATATCAATCTTTACTTAAACAGTGATAGAACTTAATTCGCTCGATTCATGCGCGTTCACGAGTCTGTGGTGCTGCACGCTCCCGCTTGAGGTCCGCGTTCTCGTCGTTCGAGGCACAAAGCATTATGGGAGGTCATCCACTGCGCATAACCGGGAGGACCAGAGGATGCCCAAATACAGGCGATTTTCCCATAGATCTTTGCGAGTTTCAGGCAACTTCCGCTAATCTTTCAGCCCCCATGCCGTCACAAAGCGCCACTGAGCACAACCATTCATTTGAATAGTGCGCCATCTTGGATCGCCGGGGCTTGGCCGGGACCCGCCCCCACTGGTAACGACCAGACAGTCTAATTTCCGGTCTTTTTCCCTTTCAAAATAAAAGCATATTAATATATACAGTCAATGGGGCTAAAGAAAAGTAGTTTACTCTTCATTAGCATTTTTCTAATATTTAACTTTGCCCCAGTGGATTTTAGCCTGATCCGATTGGTTTGGACCAGGAATCCTCTCTGGTGCAAAACCATGAACAATGTACTGCAGCAACATCTCAAGTAGAAAAAGAAATAAAAATAAAAATTTTAAAGCAAAAAACAACAACTGTTTCAGAGCTATTTAGGACTTGCTGCCGTTTCCAGCACAGTAAAATATCAGAGCATGTAAAGTGAAGGAAAGTGTTAGTCCTGTAAAAGTAAATGTTGAGTATTGACAATATTTGTTGGGACAAATAACATTGATAATGAAAAAAATCTTCCCAAGTTTTAACCCCGATTTGCTCCCTTGTAATCGTAAGATGGTGGCGGCAGTCTCCATGGCAACAGAATGCACTCTCCCTCTAGCCCTTTAAATAACCCTGCGTCTCAACAGTCTATGACTGAACACCAATCCAGCAGCCGATTCGCGACCGCGACGTGTGGACTTATACAACCGAAACCCCACCGGCATGTGTCCCGGGACGCAGTGACCGCCGTGTGAAATGCGGACCGAGGCCGTGTTGGCGCGGGGAAAGCGGAAAAATTATGTTTTCAGCCGCAATGTCGGTTGCGGTAGCGGCAGTTAGCTTCTCGATGCTAGCATGAGTGGAGCCAACACCTCCCAAAACAGGAACCACACACGTATATTTTCACTGAATTTGATTCTTGTTTTTCTCGTGATGAAGAGCTGTGAGTACCAGCAGATAGACCCGCGCGCCCTGACCGTGTCCGCGCACAAAGCCCCGGGGACCGTAACCCACCCCCACCGGAGGAAGTGGCAGATTTTCCCGGGGAAGAACCGCTTCTTCTGTGACGGTCGGCTCATGTTGTCCCGACAGAGTGGAGTGCTGCCTCTCACGCTGGGCCTTGTCGTGGTCACCTGTGGCCTTTTTTTTGCGTTTGAGTGAGTGACATCATAATATTATCACACTGTTTACCTGTTTGGCAGTGATGAAGCCTTTCTGTGTACATGAGTATAACTAGCTAAACTAGACTGACATTGTTTTGACTGCTGGGGTACCATAAACAATGAATGTTGTTTGTCCCAGTAGAAAGCTTTATGAAAGTAGTCAAGGCAACCGAATATGATAGAAACAATCACACAAGGCATTAACATCACAATTAGTCACAGTACCTTAAAAAGAGTCAAAAATAAATGTTGTTACATTTTGTGAACTAATTAGTTGGGCGGAATGTGATTCAATTAAATTGGTTGACTGTTAATTTAATTTAATTTACAAGAATTTCTAAAAAAAATAAATTTATTTGACGAAACTTCAAGCCAGAACAAATGCTGAATTCAGATTTGTTTCAAATTCATTGTTGAATATTATAATGGTACATAATATACATCATATTCTTTTCATTTGCAATGTTTTATGATTTACATTTTGGGCCAAGATGTAGTAATATTATGAAGGTCTGCCAGCTAATTGATCGACAGAGCACTCAATCAAACCAAAACATGCCGTTTTCAACTTAACATGTTATATTTTCCATACATGAAATTAAGTGTGTCTGAGTCCTATTTGACTCCTTGGGCTGAGGGCAGATTTGTTGAGTGAGGGTGGTTTAAATCTTGTAGCACAGATTGTTTGTGTAATTCAAGTGTGTCCTGCTTCTGTTGGAAGAATGACCCTGTTATATTTGATGGTTTGCAGTTGTCCTTTCCTGGTGCAGCACCTTACACTCTTCATCCCTGTGATTGGAGGAGTGCTGTTTGTGTTCGTGATGCTGTCTCTGCTCAGAACCAGCTTTACAGACCCTGGGATCTTACCCAGAGCAGGTCCAGACGAGGCGGCTGACATCGAGAGGCAGATTGGTGAGGCTATAGTTTTTAGCTAAAGAGCAGAAGCAACAAAATGAACCATGATATGGGCTTCATTTCATTGTGGTAACTGCAGCATACCCTCAATTGCTCTGAAATGGTGGTCAGGATTTTTTTTCCATTTGCCCTCTATACATTTTACTTCAGTACAATGGTCAGGGTTTTGCATTCAACCAGAACGGAGAAATTGGCCTGAATCAAGTAGATGCTCCATAAATCCACAATAGAAGCCTTTGAGCAAGTAGCTCGTCACAATGTACATCGCACCGGTCACCGGTGGAGTAAGAAGCCTCACTCTGAAGGAGAACACTGTTTAAGGGGGGTTCAATCCTGTGTTATATGTTTAGATTAGAGTTGACTAGTTAGGATTTTTTTGTAAATGTCTGACTCTTGTCTATTTTGTCTGTATCATCTACCTATGGTCACCTGAAATTCCCCTTCTTAAATAGACTCCTACAGCTCCGCTGCCACAGTGAGTGGTACAAGAGCACGTTCATGCCACACTCCATACTGCCAGTCACAGCTCTGGGACAAATAAACTTGAAGTCAGTTTATATGAATGTGTTATCTGCTTTGTCCTTGATATGTAATATCCCATTATCTCTGTATTTTATACTGTAAATGTGTACATATTCATATCTGTATAATCCAGAGTACAATCCAGATTATTCTATTGTCACAATATTATCATTATTATTCTTATTTTCAGATTGCTACTTTAATGTTATTTTTCCTGTGAAATACTATGCAAGCTACTGTGACAACGCAATTTTCATTGTGGATCAACAAAGCCTGTCAAGTCTAAATGTTGTTGAATGTTGAGTGTCCTCGGTGTATAGGCCTTTTGTGATCCACATAACTAATTGATTATCAGAATTTGATAATTGCAGCCCTAACTCAGTTGAACTATTGATACAAAAAAGTACATTTGACATTTTGTGAGCAATTTTTGGATAGTTTTTTTTTTTTTTTTTCATGCTGGTTTCATTGTTGTAAAAGCAACTTTAAGTATTGAATTCCATAACGGGCTATACATTTTCAAATATAATGGGCTAAGCATTACAATTTTAGCAAATGTCCTCTTCATTATATTATAGTTAACTGTTGTAATGCACTTTCCATTAGCAATGTTTGATCTTTAGTTTTAATCTGGTCATATGTGACTTTGCTTGTGCTTTCAGACTCGTCCGGCTCATCGTCCTATCGCCCTCCGCCGCGCACAAAGGAAATCCTTATAAACCAGCAGGTGGTGAAGCTTAAATACTGCTTCACATGTAAAATGTTCAGACCTCCGCGGACGTCTCACTGCAGCTTATGCGACAACTGTGTGGGTAAGGCAGACCACATATACACATGCAAGTATAGGTATAGTAGGAATTCACCTGATGTCAATGAATACTTTTGCAGTGACTAGATGGGCATTTTACCACAATGACTGTTTACTAAAATGGGTATGCTCTCCTAGTCCAATTTGATTAAGAACTAAAATACTTGCTCACTTTAAGTAAGAAACATTTTGAAGTGTGAGAACAAAAATATTATATATTAAGTTTGTATCTTTTTAAATGTGTCAATGATATCCGTAAATGCTTTTGTTATAGGGCTCTAAGGACTGGAACAATCTCTCAGTTTTAATAAAATGTACCAAACTTTTTAAGTTACACGCCTTAAGATACCTTAGTTATCAACTTCCTGTTAACTGTAAATAAGTTGGGTAAAAACATTGGTGACACAGTGCCATACCACCATTTGTACAAGGCATACCGATGTATAAAACATTAGTGTGTTTAATATGTTTAATAACTGTATCCTAAGTTATTGCAGGAGCAATAGAGTAGATGTGGCCGATGGGGATGCGCAAACAATGTCTTTGTCGTTTTGTTTTTTATGCAAGGTATGTTTGTGCTTATGTTCTTGTCTGTTCTTTGTATGTGGCTATGTATACTTTTTGTGTAACTGTTTGGCAGAGCAAACCGATGAAAAAGACCCCCTCAAAAAGAGAGGATTTATCTCAACGGGCAAAAAAAAAGTTTTTCAGATCCTCTGAACCGGGACTGGCCCTGGTCTAAACAAGGTCTCAACCACAACCTTTGATGCACGCAGGGACACACAATCTGACTCTAGTTTGCGGACATAAACATGCATACACGGCTGCCTGTGAGAACATAGATGGCCTGCAGTAGAGCTTATTCTTGCCATAGCTTTTGATGTGATATTCCGACCCAGTGCTGAGGGGGTGCAAGAGGGATGCAGCCGTGCGCACCGGGTCAGAAGCCACTGTCAGTTCTTCTTGCATAGAGCATTTTTTCCAGCTCAGAAGTGACACAGTTACTTGGCTTTCAGTCAAAACACAGTCATAATGAGAGCGGTGAAGGAGTTTTGATATGACTTAATTTCCAGCAAAATGTGATATGTGAAGACAGTCGTCATGTTGCATCTTTTTAAAGGGTGATGGAAGGTGGACTGTTTGCTCTGACTCTGTTTTTAGGTAAATTACACTCCGAGTAGCTGACTCCGCAACTCAATTGCAGAGTTGCAATTAAGAAAACAAAAGGTAATTTTTCCTACTGATTCTGTGTCCTCAGAGCGATTCGACCATCACTGCCCCTGGGTTGGAAACTGTGTGGGGAAACGCAACTACCGCTTTTTCTACAGCTTCATCATCTCCCTATCTTTCCTGACGTCTTTTATATTTGGCTGCGTCATCACTCACCTCACCCTACGTAAGTACACATACACACTTGTATTATTGATACACTGTTCACAGTCAATTAATCATTGACTGTCTGTTTTCTCTACAGGCTGTCACACTGGCAAAAGCCTTATTCAAGCCATTCAAGAAAGTCCTGCCAGATATCCTTTCATCTTGTGGTTGAAGAGTACCGGAAGAATCTCATTTGAGCTGCTATGATGACAACCTCTGTTTGGGAAATAAGGAACATTATTGTTGTTCACATCTTGATATATGAGTCAGCCTATGTTCTCATGTTGTTGAGGCAAAGGTGTGTTGATGTGAGACTCTTCATGGTCTTAAGCCACTTAACGGGATCAAAGTTTAACTCCAGCGGAAGCGCTTGACTCTGCTGTGTTAGACTCAGGAGTGCTGACGTGAGCTACTTCAAGTGTTTGCACCGAACAAATGAATATCCAGGCTTGGGCCTTGAAATTACTGGAATTCAGGCTTGTTACTTTGGATGTATTTTAGATTTTGAATAGTCAATAGGAATGTCAATAATTGATTTGTTGGCCAAGTAGTTTTTTAAAATCCCAAAAGATCAGTGCATGTAGGATTTTTAGAGCCTGGAAGGGCCATATCCATATTGCGTTAGAACGCATTGATTTTGAGGTCTTTTTGATGTCATAAATAACCTGAAAATTCAACTTGCGAGCAAGGTTTAAGATATTTTCTACGTTTGATCAAAACAAAGTTTAAGTGGTGCCTGTGAAGAACATCTTCATAGAGGGAACTCGTTACACATTCCGTTGCTTTGATTACAAAGTGTTTGAAATTTACCCACTAAGGGACTCATGAAGCTTTATCTTATCAACACATTTCAATTTAACTCATTTGTCACTACAGAGTTAACAAAGTAAAAAAACTGATGGAAGGTTGAATATATATATATATATATATATATATATATATATATATATATATATATAAAAAGCAAATGTATAAAAGATTATTTGGTTACGCGTATACTGATATACACATTCATGTATTGGCCATGTAATGGTGGTGTTCCCTTGTCACATGTGGGAGTGATTCATGCATGTTTTGACAGATGACAGCGATTATCACTATAGCAAGTCTTTGATAAAACAAATTCCTGCCTTAAAGCAATTTGGTCTCAAACTTGTTGAAACATATTCAATTATATCTATACTTTTATTTAGTCAAAATACCTTTTGAAAAATTTACTTTTTATTGAATTGATAAAGTTACAGATGCAAATTATGAGCTACTTTCCATAAAGGCTTGATGCCTTGGGTGTTCTGTTTTTGTCTATCTCTGTCTACTAGTATGAATGTGTACCTTTTCTACTGTTATTAAAGAACGAGAAGATGGCGCGTACAATTTTAGTGTTTATAATCTGCATGTCATGTCCCTTTATCACACCTGTGATAAGTTGAATGTGCCCCTGCCTCACCCAGAAGTGTGCAGTCTGCCGTTGTTGCGCCTTGACCTGTCTCACTGTGGTGGAGCTGGTGATCTGCTTCTTCTCAGTGTGGTCCATTCTGGGCCTTTCAGGCTTCCATACTTATCTTGTGGCCTCCAACCTTACCACAAATGAAGATGTAGGTGTAATGTGAATATTGTGGGTTTCAAAAGCCGGAGGTTAACAGTCTTTTTCTACAGATCAAAGGCTCGTGGTCCAGTAAACGTGGCGCAGAGGATTCTGGGAACCCGTACACTCACAACAGCATCATGAGAAACTGCTGCGCAACATTGTGTGGGCCCATGCCTCCCAGGCAAGCGTAACGTTTTACTTAAGGCACTGCTGTTTGTATAATGTCAGGATTTGTTCAATCAAATCAAATTGGAATAGGCAATGGATCTGGTTTTCACAAGTGCCTTGTAAGCACACTCAGTCTAGATATAGAAAGCCAAAGAAAATGTTTAGAAATTAAGCTAGTGATGTATCTCTCAAGAAAATGAAAATAATTTATGAGTTCATGCCAAGGATTTGCTGTCAGGGGAGGCAGAGCCTCAATCTCAGTGTTTTAATTCAAAAATTGACTGATTCCTTCAGATTTCTTGATTTCACTGCCCAACTTGCGATCGCTCGCTGCTCGCGCAACAGTGCTCCCCAAACATCACAGTAATTTGAACACTGCTTAAGAGAGAGAAAGGGATCAAAGTTCTTGTTAAAGCTCTTGTTTATGGTAAACATCTCTTGAAGGCCACTATTGGCTGTTTGTTTTAACATGCAAATTATACCAGTGTCGCCCTGCTCACCACTGTCCACTAGCCTGACTCTTGCCAGACCCTTGTAGTTCCGCCATGCTCCGCCAGAGGCGTTTTGCTTCACACACAAGGGTCTGGTATCAAGAGCATATCCAACTCCTGCAGGAGATCAAATCAGGATTGCCGGTGTTACGTCGGGTTTGCACTGCCTTCTCGGGCGGCAGCGAAAGCAAACAAGATGGCGGACATGAAGTCAGTGAATTTTAGTGAATTTTAATTTTAAAAAAAAAGAACGAAAGTCACTTATGATGCAGTATGAGGCGAGATGTCGATGGTTCCATGTTATATGTGTGTTTTAAGAGTCAAATGTTCTTGTAAAGTTTGGTTTAAGTGTTCCTGTTTACAACACTACGCAGCAGGGTTGCCAGGTTGGGTGGTTTCCCGCAGACTTGTAGTTAATAAATAAACAGAAAGACAATAAACAGAATCATGATAGCCCAAGTTGATAACATTACGTTTTTAGTCAAAAAATCATTATGGATGTTATATATATATATATATATTTTTTATGGGCATTCACGCGGGTTTTGGGCTGGAAAATCTTGTCAGCATTTGGCAACCCATTGGAGTCTGCTGAATCTTGTGCTTCGATGTGAGTGGTTGAAGGAACACGTCATTCAAGATAACAGACAAGTGGTTTATCCAATCACATACAAGGAATTTTTTTTTTTTTTACAAGGCCCCGCCTTCTGAAAATTTTCCGCTATGGAATAGACCCAGACCCTTGTGAGAAGCGCAGCGATCTTCAAGGGTCTGGCGAGAGTCGGGCTAACTGTCCACACCTGTGGTACTAAAATATGTTGCGTGACAGTGGAGCAGAGGGTCATCAACTAATTTGTTGTGGGATTATAAAAAGCTGCTATTTTTTTATTACGTTTGTTTACATTATTGCATTGACCCCTTCATCTTAATTCATGCCATTTTTATTTACACTTGTAAATGTGACTTTCAAAGTCGGTGCCTCCAAATCCCAAATCTCACTGCACGTCACTGGTTCATGCAATAAGAAATAATACATCTATATTTAAGGTACATCAATTGTATATTAGAATTTAAAATGCATGAGATAAAAAATTATTTGACCAATTGAATTCTGCATTTAGCAGTGGTCATTTATCAGAAACGAGTAGTGAGTTATGATTCAAACACCAGCTACTGTGGAGATACCTCTACTTCTTAACCTCTTAACACCCATCTGCCCGCCTGCGGGCCGTTTTTATTTTTTAAATGTCATTTTAAAGCTCTTTTTCTCATGTACATTTTATATATAAGGGCCGACAGTGGCTCAGTTGGTAGAGCATCGGCCTTTCGGCCTGAAGGTTGTGGGCTCGAGCCCACCATACATGTAAGACCTACTTCACGACTCCCACTGATGTCTGCTGCTGTCGTGTCCTTGGGCCAGACACTTGACCCCACTTTGCCTGAAGCCCCTTCTGAAAGATCTCAGCTCCTGTGGACTCACCACCTGCATGAGGATCAGTGAGGGGCTGGTGCTAAGTGTACTGGGTGCATCTCTGACTGCCATCCCCCCAACCCAGAAATGGATTAAGGGGAAGAAAATGGATGGATGGACGCAAACCAAGATGAATTGCTGTAAAAGTTCAAATACCAACGAATTAAGACACAAATGTCATTTTGAGGCCGGATGTTGATGGTTCCATGTTGTGAGGTGTGGGTTTTAAGAGTCAGTTTTGTGTAAAGTTTGGTTTAAGTAGTGAACTGCTGTCAAACCACACTGCTACTGTGTGATAGCAGCATACCAGTCCCTTTCTTGTCGAGTTGAACTGCCGCAAGCGTCATTTTACTGACGTAGGCCAATGACGCGTCCTGTGGCTAACTCGACAGCTGTTCGCTTACAACTTTGTTAGATTTTGTTTTTTGATTTCCATTATCAACCCGACAGACCCTTTTGTAAGCTATTAGCTGTCAGGTTTGCACAGGACGCGTCATTGGCCTACGTCAGTAAAATGACATATGCGGCAGTTCAATTCAACAAGAGGACTGCTATCGCCATCGGCTATCACACAGTAGCAGTGTGATACTCCACACTAAACTGTATCAATGTGTTACATTTTGGTCAATGACACGAAAAAAGTCCCGAAATGTCCGCGGCCGTTACCGCTGAATGTTCAGACCCACTCTTGTTTTGTTTCCAGCTTGTTTGTCCAGTGAAGGGGGCACTACTTAAACACTGATTGGTTCACGCCCGTATTATTAACAGCGCTCCAAGACAGCCGTTTTGCCACAAAAGTGGACACGATTTTTTTCGTCAAACGCCTAGTTTGTCCGCAGTTAGTGAATAATGTATTATTATGTAACATCTGTAATTACATATTGGTTATAGTTGTGTCTCCAACCATTAACCTTTGAATAGTCTTCTGTCCTGTTCATTCTTCCATTTACAAAGCCTCCAACATGACATCAAATGTATCAATTATGTCCCCAAAGTTCAATGCAATTTTTTTGAAAGGCATCCATTTTTCTTGAAAGTTTTAGCTGCCTTTCTGAGATTATACTATGTATATAAGCTATATAGTATTAAAAAAATTCAGGTACAAACCTTTTTAGTTCATACATTTATCTTATTGTCGCTTGAAGTTAGATCGAGCAATGGTACAGTTTAGTGTGGAGTGAGCCTAAACCAAACTTTACACAACTTTGACTCTTAAAACCCACATATCACAACATGGATCCATCAACATCTTGCCTCAAATTGCATTAAAAGTGATATGTGTCTTAATTAGTTCGTATTTAAACTTTTAAAGCAATTCACTGACTTTATGTCCGCCATCTTGGTTTGCTTCGGCTGCAATGAGAAGCGCATGCGCAGGTTTGCATTACATCGTAAACGGCTGAGACAGTGCATCTCGACATCTCGTTACACCGGCTTTCGTCTGCAACACCCCTGTGAATAAAACAAGCAGCCACCTTTTGTGCATGGTCAGTCTGTATTTGTTTTTAGCCAGACAGCTAGGGAACTGTTCTTTTGCCTAATGATTGAAATGTCTAAGTAGCCAATAGGGAAATCTTTCTAGCAATTGGTGGGACCTGGGGGTACTCCGTTGATTTGCACCATTAGAAGCACACGTAAAGCATGGAGAGAGACGCTGGTTCGGTGCCAGCACACATTATATATGCATTTACACTACTAAAAATGAACTTTGAAAACAGTTTTAAAAAATCACACAGGTTAGTAACTCATAATAAAAAAATGGGTTTTATGATTATTGAGGACATGAAATGTCAGTAAACTGTTTCAGAATGGCACTATTTGATGTAAAAGAGAAACTGTATAAAAACTATAAAACCTAGAAGTCTGAAACTTTAGACAGTTGTTGCCAACAAAACAATGCCCATAGGGTCTGAATATTGTGAGCTTACATTGATGTAAGCTCACAATAATTTCAAAGGATGCAGGATGAGCCAAAATGAGGTGGGTATGTCCAAGCTACTCTTACAGTGTGTATTTTGTTTCAGTTTGATTGACAGACGCGGTTTTGTTCCTTCTGATGAGGTTGTGACTGCTGCTGATTGTCCTTCAGAGATGGAGCTGCCTTCCTTCACAGCAAAGAGTGACACACACATGGTAGGGTGAAGTCCCACTGTCCCCTTTGCTGCCCTGAGTCTGTCCCAATGTCCCCTCCGCTGCCCTGGGTCGGCCCCCGTGCTCCCCTCTTATAGGAAGGTCCCTTTGCCCCTTTTCCCGGGTCTCTTCCGGGTCAGGAGAGGTCCTGGATTGGCCCCTCTGTCCCCTCTGAACAGACCAAGGGCCTCAAATTGTCTGAATCAGGGGTGCCAAACAGTACCCTCCTCAATTGCATTTTCATCTGTGTTCTGTCTATGGTCGCTCGGATACGCATTAGGTGAGTTAAGTTATGTTGTCCAGTACTTTGACGTATGGGATACACGCCTCACTCATGGTTCACATCAACTTGCAAACTAAGGTCCCGTTTAGACAGACGCAGCAAGTTGAGTTGTGTATCGGTTTGGCCTCCTGTTTACATGGAGACGGTGTTTCAGGGGGGTGAAAACCCAAGCTGTTTCACAGCTATGTGAAGAAAGAAGGTGTGAATTCTCTCCCTGCTATGACCTCCATTTTCCCACATACATTTGGACATGCGCAGTAGCCGAGAACAAACGTAAACAACAGTGGCGGTGGGTCAACTAACTAGCTACGTATGTTTTGAGTGCTACACAGAGGAGAATTCAACTTTGCATGGTTTTGTTTGGACAGACGAAGGAGTAGTAGTTTCAGTTTCCATTTTTTCAGCTACTGTTAAATGCAGAACGATGTTGGTGCATTCTTTCACGTCTTTGCGGTTGCCTGAGGAGGATGTTGTTGAGGAAGTTATTCTACTGCTGGGGGGGGCTGAGGTTTGCGTGTGTTGTGTTGTAAAGTTCCATTGCCTGCTACTGGCCGGGCGCTGTAACTAGATTTGAGAGACATCTGGCTGCAGACTGATTCCCCCCCCCCTCGCAGACCTCCCTGTTCAGCCCCAGATTTACTGGAAATAGATAGTAATTTTTGCTAATTGCTTTGCAGCATCTCTGCAGCGTCTCCGCTTAAACGGGGCCTAAAAGGCTTTGCAATTAAACACGCATATCAAAACAATTGGGTGTAAGACACCTTTTTGATGTTTATTTTTTTCAGCCTACTGTGAATTTTTTTTAAATGTTTTAATAGGAATGCACCGATGCATCGGCTAAACATTGGTATCGGCCAATGTTTGCCTTGTTAACTACCATCAACTTCCAGCAAGTAGAAATGACAGAGGGTAGGCGCATGCCAAGAGATACAGGTAGGATGCGTTCGCACACTTTCCTCAGTAGAAGAAACAAAGATGGTGGCAGTCCTATGGCAATATTTTACAGTATCAGAAAAAAGATCAGGGTTATGCAGTTTGCGATATGTGTTCCAGTGAGATTTCAAGAGGGGGGACTGCTAAAAAATCATTTAACACAACCAATCTCATTGGACATTTGAGAAGGAAGCATAAGCCTTTGTACAGCGATTGAATGCAAGCTGATGATAAATGACAAGCCACCAAGAAATTGTGTGTAATTTTATTTATATATATATATATATATATATATAATATAATATTAAATAAATAAATAAAAATTAGTGATCAAAAAGAAATCTCAAAGAAAAAACTTCGCCCAAGTTGTTACGTTAAATATCGGTGCATCCCTATTTTATATACAGTGCCTTGCGAAAGTATTCGGCCCCTTTGAACCTTTCAACATTTCGCCACATTTCAGGCTTCAAACATAAAGATATAACATTTTAATTTTTTGTCATGAATCAGCTACAAGTGGGACACAATCGTAAAATGGAACGAAATTTATCGGATAATTTAAACTTTTTTAACAAATAAAAAACTGAAAAGTGGGGCGTGCAATATTATTCGGCCCCCTTGCGCTAATACTTTGTAGCGCCACCTTTTGCTGCAATTACAGCTGCAAGTCGCTTGGGGTATGTCTCTATCAGTTTTGCACATCGAGAGACTGGAATTCTTGCCCATTCGTCCTTGCAAAACAGCTCGAGCTCAGTGAGGTTGGATGGAGAGCGTTTGTGAACAGTCTTCAGCTCTTTCCACAGATTCTCGATTGGATTCAGGTCTGGACTTTGACTTGGCCATTCTAACACCTGGATACGTCTATTTGTGAACCATTCCATTGTAGATCTGGCTTTATGTTTTGGATCATTGTCCTGTTGGAAGATAAATCTCCGTCCCAGTCTCAGGTCTTTTGCAGACTCCAACAGGTTTTCTTCCAGAACGGTCCTGTATTTGGCTCCATCCATCTTCCCATCAATTTTAGCCATCTTCCCTGTCCCTGCTGAAGAAAAGCAGACCCAAACCATGATGCTGCCACCACCATGTTTGACAGTGGGGATGGTGTGTTCAGGGTGATGACCTCTGTTGCTTTTACGCCGAACATATCGTTTTGCATTGTGGCCAAAAAGTTTGATTTTGGTTTCATCTGACCAGAGCACCTTCTTCCACATGTTTGGTGTGTCTCCCAGGTGGCTTGTGGCAAACTTTAAACCAGACTTTTTATGGATATCTTTGAGAAATGGCTTTCTTCTTGCCACTCTTCCATAAAGGCCAGATTTGTGCAGTGTACGACTGATTGTTGTCCTATGGACAGACTCTCCCACCTCAGCTGTAGTTATCTGCAGTTCATCCAGAGTGATCATGGGCCTCTTGGCTACATCTCTGATCAGTCTTCTCCTTGTTTGAGATGAAAGTTTGGAGGGACGGCCGGGTCTTGGTAGATTTGCAGTGGTCTGATACTCCTTCCATTTCAATATAATTGCTTGCACAGTGCTCCTTGAGATGTTTAAAGCTTGGGAAATGTTTTTGTATCCAAATCCGGCTTTAAACTTCTCCACAACAGTATCTCGGACCTGCCTGGTGTGTTCCTTTGTCTTCATGGTTCTCTCTGCGCTTTAAACAGAACCCTGAGACTATCAAAGAGCAGGTGCATTTATACGGAGACTTGATTACACACAGGTGCATTCTATTTATCATCATCAGTCATTTAGGACAACATTGGATCATTCAAAGATCCTCACTGAACTTCTGGAGTGAGTTTGCTGCACTGAAAGTAAAGGGGCCGAATAATATTGCACGCCCCACTTTTCAGTTTTTTTATTTGTTAAAGTTTAAATTATCCAATACATTTCGTTCCACTTCACGATTGTGTCCCACTTGTAGCTGATTCATGACAAGAAATTAAAATTTTATCTTTATGTTTGAAGCCTGAAATGTAGCGAAATGTTGAAAGTTCAAGGGGGGCGAATACTTTCGCAAGGGACTGTATCTTATCAATTTGAGAGGTTCGCCATGAGCCATTGCGCCTGCAGCATGAAGTTTGGGTGTGGGATAGATCTCACTTATTAGAACGTTGAATGATGATTTATTATGCTATTAGATATTATATTATTTCTGTATACGTCCACTGTCCAGGAGCAGAATTGTCAGGACTTCTCAGTGTCCTGTACAGCCTGAAGCGGCACCGGTGGCTCATGGTAAGGGGAGTGTTCAAAGCGGTCACTTTTCCTGCTCATTAGTTCTCCATAATCTTCTTTTATCATTGTAGGTTTCTGGATTCACACTGCTTCACTAATTTGACTTCATCTCATTTATTTGTATATCTGCTCGATCATTCTAACTGCCACATTACTGACCTGATGATTTGTGCATGTGATAATTCCACTGTGCGGCTTGTCTTTTTTTTTATCTTTGACCCATTACCTCTCATCCATTTCTGTGTCTGCAGCTCTTCTGTGCACCTCCTTCACTAATTCTGTGCTCTTTGTTAAATATTTTTGTTAAAATATAACAAAATTGGTATTTTTACTGTCTTAAAATTGCCTCATAAAATAATGGGTTTCTTTTATAACAATCTGCAGCAGTCCTTTCCTCACCTTCTTGCATCCTAATTATTCATCAGAATGAGTTTAGAGGCATTTTTTCAAAACTTTCAGAGTGTGAAACCCGCAAGAGTTGGTCCAAGATGGGACAGAAATATAATATGTATGAAATATAACTCACAGCTGAGCTGACCCATATCTGACAATTAATTTTGTAGGTTAGGTTACACTGCATAGGTATACATAATTGGAGGTCAGCATTGTGAAGTTTTGAGTAAGAGGAGTTTACTTTTCAGTTTTTCCCATTTTACATGTACATTGCTGGCGTCACTTTAGCATTTGTTTTGAAACCCCCCCCCCCCCAAAAAAAATATCCCAATAATAAACTACAAAAGACAGTGGAATATAGGCCTACACACAGGCCTATAACTTCAAAATATACATAATCTAATCACCAAATTCTACATTATCAACCATTAAATGCCTTTGCATCAAATGTTTACTATTATTGTATCTACAGTATAATCTAGGCCTATATGACTTGACACGGCCACAATCATAACTTGGTCAATGTGGATCACTGCTGTTGCATTTGAGTGGACAATAAATAAAACAGTCCTGCTCCTCTCAACGGCTACACCACCCCTGCTGCTGCGTCCTTCTTCACCGTGGAGGATGTCTGGGTGGAGCTAAAGAAGCTCCAGCGGAGGAAGTCTGCTGGGCCTGATGGGATGTGCAGCGGAGTTAGCTGAGCCTCTCCATACCATCTTTAACAAGAGTCTTCAGACTGGATGTGTCCCTGCCCGCTGGAAAAGCTTCTGCTTGGTACCCGTCCCCAAGGTAGCAAGGCTGACAGGATGCAAGGACTACAGACCAGTGGCACTAACATCTGTCATAATGAAGACTTTTGAGAGGATAGTACTCAGACTGCTCATGCCACAAGTTGAGCAGGCTCTTGACCCCCTGCAGTTTGCCTATCACGAGAAAATAGGAGTGGATGACGCGGTCCTCTACATGCTCCATCGATCCGCGTCCTTCCTGGATGGCCCTGGAGGATATGTGAGGTTGATGTTCTTTGACTTCTCCAGTGCATTTAACACCATCCAACCTCTCTTACTGAAGGAGAAACTGGAGAAGATTGGAGTTTATACCATCTTTAACAACTGGATTTACAATTACCTCACTGTGAGGTCACTGTATGTCAGGTTAGGGACGAGCATGTCTGGGACTGTTGTAAGCAATACGGGAGCACCACAGGGTACCGTTCTGGCTCCCTTCCTCTTCACAATTTACACTGCAGACTTTGCACACAACTCTGCTCCATGTCATGTACAAAAATACTCGGATGATACCGCTGTTGTGGCATTTGTGAAGCAGAGGCTCCTATCACTACGCTGCCGAACGAAACGTTTCAAGAGATCCTTTGTTCCTTCGGCTGTCAGACTGTACAACAAACCTGGATGAGTCTTCTGCTGCTGGACACCTGAATTCCTCCTACGGGGGATCAATAAAGTGTCTTATCTAATACATTATGACAAACATGATCATTTACCCACAGACCATTAACATGTTGCAAAATTATGAAGCCAATATGCATTTTTTATTTCGTACACAATATGAAATAATACTAAATTTGTATGTGTTTCAAGATGGTTTTGCTAGTAATTAAATAGTTTGGTGTATACATTATTGCTATATTTGGCCACTGTGTATTCACTGAATACGGCTCGGCAAAAAGACCCGGGGCGTTGATGTGAATGAACAGGCTCTATTGGGGTTCTCACATTGACAAAAAACTTGGCGGTTTTCGACCCCTAGAACCTTTTTGAGTTAGCCCTAATCCTGCAAAGAGGCTGTTTGAGTTGGCCCTAAACAGTCTCCTATGGTGGCTTTGCTAGCCAATGCTTCTACTTTAATATTTTATTTAGCTTAATGTCAGGCTTAGATATAACTGCTACTTTGATTAAGGTATGCTAATGGACTCATTGCAGAAGTGGGTAAAAGTTAATTCCTACTTTTGGCCTTAACCCCACCCACGGGGTTCCACAGTGATGACAAAATGTACCCATATGATTGGCTATGGCCAATAAGCACAACAGCAAGGAATACATGAGGCATTAAGTACTTTGTGCTTCTGGAGGAAATCTGTCCAGACCATGGTTTGGTCACAGCAATTAACAAGGGTCTGAAGAGGGTTGGTTTGAACTGCTGAAAATTGATTAAAATAAACTCTGTTTTTGGTGGTTTTCAGACCCAAAACATCAGCTACAGTGCCTTGCGAAAGTTTTCGGCCCCCTTGAACCTTTCAACATTTTGCCACATTTCAGTCTTCAAACATAAAGATATAAAATTTAATTTTTTTGTCATGAATCAACAAGTGGGACACAATTGTGAAGTGGAACGAAATTTATTGGATAATTTAAACTTTTTTAACAAATAAAAAACTGAAAAGTGGGGCGTGCTATATTATTCGGCCCCTTTACTTTCAGTGCAGCAAACTCACTCCAGAAGTTCAGTGAGGATCTTTGAATGATCCAATGTTGTCCTAAATGACTGATGATGATAAATAGAATGCACCTGTGTGTAATCAAGTCTCCGTATAAATGCACCTGCTCTTTGATAGTCTCAGGGTTCTGTTTAAAGCGCAGAGAGAACCATGAAGACAAAGGAACACACCAGGCAGGTCCGAGATACTGTTGTGGAGAAGTTTAAAGCTGGATTTGGATACAAAACGATATCCCAAGCTTTAAACATCTCAAGGAGCATGAATCAACCACTTGTTGTTGATTCATGACAAAAAATAAAATTTTTATATCTTTATGTTTGAAGCCTGAAATGTGGCGAAATGTTGAAAGGTTCAAGGGGACCAAATACTTTCGCAAGGCACTGCATGTGCCCTTATTTAAGATGTGAGTTTGCTGACTGTAGTGTCTTTCTCAGTGCACACAGAGCACAAAGGACGTGTTGGAGAAGATGCTGCGCTCCTCAGACTTGGCCGTCTGTCCGGTGGGAGCTCCAGAGACCTCTCCTCTGGGGCTGGAGGTGCCCGCCATACGCAGTCCAGTGGTGTGCCAGGCCCCCTGCTCCGGGTGTGGCCGCAGTAGGAAGGACTCTCTACACTCCATCAACCCTGCGTTTCGTTTGGCAGCGCCCTCCCCTACAGTGCCCCGCACCAACCCACCTCTGAGCCAATCACAGGCCGAGGGATTTGTCCCAATGCCCTGACAAATTTAGAAGTAAAACTTAGTCTGACGAGGAGTTAACAGTATTTTTACAAAGCACTAGTGAAAATCGGATAACTTGTTCAATCAAATAAAATTGGATTAAGCAAGACCCATGTAAACCCATATACTGCAATTGAGGTGTGACAAACCAGTCCATTTGGCTTGCTTACTTACTTACTGTATCCACATAAACTTGATGCCTGGTTTCAGAAGTATCAAGTTTAACAGAAGCAGTTAAGGAACAGAAAACGGGCATGCTTATTGTAGAGGGCTTCACAGGAAATGCGATGGGTTTCAAAGCACTGGAGAAATGTAATGATTTCTGAAGCTGTATTCTCTTGCTTTGTAAATGTACTTTGTTACAAGGTTTGACAGAAGGAGCGTGGAGATGTTTTTGATAATGGCGTGGGTGGAGGAAAAAACACCTCCAGGTCTGGCACAATGTATAATGGTAACTCCAAAAATATGATTTTGCAAAATCTTGTGAGGCTCACACGCTTGCACCAGTGATAAATCCTTCAAAGTTATTATTATTATTATTATTATTAAATGTACAAATGTTGACACCCAGTGAGCAGGGGTCTTTTCAATGAAACAATTATACAAAGGGTTGTATGTTGTTGATCAGTGACAAAATAATGTGAGAATGTGATGTTCTTTTGGAGAGAAAGTTTTTGTTCACGGTTTTGTTTTATAAATGTATTCAGATGTTTCATATTAACTGTAGTAACTCAGCCTTCCTCCAGTTAGCTTAAGAAAGGAATTATATTTGAACCAAATAACTGGCTGTATCCAAATTCCCAAAATCCTGCTTCCTTGCCTGTCCTCGTACATGAAGAAAGTCTTTCCTCACACGGTCTTACTTTCACGTGTCCCGATAATTGTAATTGGTTTGCAACGTTTTAGCACTAGGCCTTCATGCTGTGTGAGGGAGTACAGCTGATATGTCCTCTTCTCCACCTCTTTTTGGAGAAATTAATTTGCAAAGTTAATTTTTCACACTCAAGTCAGACACAAAATGTTGAAAAGGTGTTGCATTTCACCCTCAACCTGCTAACCAATCATTTAAGGTAAAGTATTTAAAGAACAGGGAAGGAGGTGTTTTTGCTGATTTGGGATGCAGCTACAATTGTTTCTCTGGCCTCATAAACCTGAAGGTGCCTGATGATGCCAGGTCTTAAACATTATGATTCATATAGAAAAAGTCTGAGGCACTCTGTTGAAGTGAAAAAATAAAAGTCCTTTATTAAAAAGTGATGCCCTGCCTACGCGTTTCGACCAAAAGCGGTCTTTGTCAGGGTATCACTTGTTCCCTCTGCAGCACTTCCTTCCTTGCTTTAAACTATTTTGATCCATATGTTCAAATTCAGCAAACTGTCAGTTCACCGGCAGTGACAGTGTAAACTGGGGTACCTTTTTCTTTTCTCCATAAATAATAAATGTCATCTGTCCCAACAGAAAGCCTTGTAAAAGTAGCATTTTGTGAACAGTCCAGACCACAACATGCTGAAAAGTAAGCTTGCTAAGTTTTTACATGCACGTATTTGTGGGCGCTGTTTTAATGACACATTTCTATCGTTCTTATTGTTTTGGTTTTAAATTTGGGTACCCCAGATTTAAATGTAATTTCTACCTACAGAGAGTAATGTTCTGCCACACAATTGTAGTGGGCTCTTCCTTCAAAACGTCACATTGTTTCATTTCTTAATCACATTAGAAATGGCAACTTAGGGCAGAGATCCAGACACTCTAGTCTTTGTGAACGTGTTGTGAAGTGTTTTATTGTATATCACAGGAGTCAGGAGGTTCAAAGTCATCCATGCGTTAAAAGTGTTTTATGTGGAGTTAGTATTCCACTCCCTCAGAAATAAACTTGGTAAATCTATCTGCACGAACAGGAGCAAAACAAGTGATACATTTAATACATCCAAGCCATACAACCACTCACTTATCCAATTCTCAACAGATTGTTTGGCCTGCTTTGATCAGATTAAGGGCAGTATCCGACTCTGGATCTTGCAATGGGTTTCACGTTGTCTAGTTGATAGTATGTTTGTTCTGTGTGAACAGTAGTGTTTTGTCGTGTCTTCAGTGACTGCTTCCTGCTGGATCAGGAAGATAACTGTTACCAGTTTGTGGGAAAATGTGAGGCTTTATAAGACTACAAACTGAGCGTTCAAAGGGGCTTGCAGTGTTTGAAACTACACGATGTGCACATAGAAACACTTATTAGCAATCTGATATTCTGACAACATTGATGGAGGGGAACTCAAAGTAGAGCCATTGCTCCTCCCTATTCTGAGGGACAGGCTGAAATGGTGAGAGGAGGCATCAGGCCTCCCTGGTCTTCTCTCTCTGAAAACTGGCCCCTAATAAAGAGAAGGAATAATGGATAGATGACAGTCGAAATGTACTCCAATGGTTCCACTAAATAATTAAAGCTGGGATATCCAACTTTTCTTCATAAGTAAAACATGTTTGTTCCAACTGAAACTCTAGAAAACTAAAACGTTAGTACATAAGACCACAACATGTGGACTTGAAAACATAAAAACTTGTTGGAGCCCTTTAAAAAAATTGCGTTATGAAATGTATAGGTGCCCCAGCTTTAAGTATACATTGATCTGCTCCGTGTATGAAAACGGTAATGTGTTCTTTTAAATTACCCACTTCACTTGTGGCCGCTAGAGGGCGACGGTTCTCCATGGAAACGCCATTATTACCCGTGAACTCACAGCTCCCTATACCTCACTTTTTCTGACTTTTCAATTGTGGTAAATCTTGCCTCCTCGACTGAACAAGGAAAGGATAAAGGAACAATTTTCTGATTCAATCAAACATGATTGAATTACATAATGATCTTAAACGCCACTCACTTGATACTAAGATCTCGTCTTTAGAAGTCATCTCGAGTACGGGCTGTGCTGGTCCACAATCACTGTTTTGTAGAATATAACTTTAAAACAATAAATATGCTTTATATTTTTGCTGGCTCCTGTTTGTCCTGTTCATTTTCACATAATCAAGTCACAAAAGTATTAATAAAGTGCACTACAGTGTATGGGTGAGGAACTCAGTCACTTGGGAGGAGCTCGGAGTAGAGCCTATGTATGGCCCCGTTTATACGGAGAAAATACGGTAGTAAAACGCTATCGTTGGATGTTGGTTGCTACCCCCGTTCATATGGACACTGTTCTAGAGCTGTGTTCAGACCGCCAACGCTGGAACGCTGAAGCCTCGCTCACCAGAGGCACATTCTCTAGTTTTCAGACGCAGATGACTTCACACCAGAACAGAGTAAGCTAGCGGGTTTTTGTGTTAAGTTTGTCTCCAATAAGGCATCTCTGCAGGGTCTCTATGTCCAGACCTTCCACGGACTTTATATGACAGTAGTATGTGTTCACGGAGGTATGCAATAAGTTTATTTTATTATTAAACGGTACTTCCGCATCGGCGAACACACTCGAAGCAGTTGCATAAAGTCACGGGAGCATGAAAATGCATTATGTTCACAAGCACTATGTCCCCCATTGTCAACCCTGGTTTTAGTCCTGGTGTAGCTCCTGTTTTGGCTGTTTAAAGTATGTTCAGTCTGCTCACTCAGTCCACTAATGTCCCCGTGACCACTTTAATTTGTAAACCAAAGTAACCAAAGTTAATCTCCTGCGTGCGTCGACTTTCCGCTCCTGCTCCTCCCCTTCGACTTTTCTGCGCAGTCCGTGGGTGCGTTCCGAGACGCACATGCATTTTGACGCTCGAACGCACGTCACCATTGACTTTGCATTGAAAGCCGACGCAACGCATGATCCGGTCTGAACACGCCATAGGGGGGTGAAAACGTAAGAGTTAAGATCGAGCCTACAGAGGGGGACAGGTCAGATACGCTGCTCAGCGGGGTGCTCTTTCACACCCACGAGAAGAAAAAGGTGTGAATTCTCTGCCTGATCTGACCCCGCTGCTCCCTGTACATAAATTTGGACATGCCCAATAGCCGAGAACCAACGTAAACAACAATGGTGGCGGGTACACTAACTAGCCACGTGTGCTTCGAGCGCTACACAGGGGAGGATTCTACTCTTTCGTTCGTCCAAATGAAACCACTCAAAGTTCTAGTTTCAGTTTTCTATTTTCGCAGCTGCTGTTTAATGCATAATGATGTTGGTGCATTCTTTCAGAGGAAGTGAGTATACTGCTGAGGGGGTGGGCTGGGCTCGCGTGTGTCGTGTTGTAAAGTTTCTTTGCCTACTACTGGCCGGGCGCTAGAACTACATAGTTTTTGATCCTTGTATGAACGCTGTGAAATTTGCATTAGGAGCCTGGTCGTTTCTGTTAATAGCTTGAAAACGTCTGCTCAGCGCCTCCGTATAAACGGGGCCTATGCTTCTCAACTTTGAGAGGACCCAGATGAGATGGTGAAAGGGGTCGTTAGACAGGGCTAATCACAACCGGGGGACTACGCGCTTTTCCACAGTACCGGCACGGCCAAGCCCCGGTGATCCAAGATGGCGCCCTATTCAAATGAATGGCTTGTGCTCAGTAGCGCATGGGACTTCACGGGCGCTGACATATATGCGGAACTTGGCTATATTTGGGCATCGTCTGGTCCTCCCGGTTCTGCGCAGTGGACAAGCTCCCATGATGCGTTGTGCCAAATACGCGTGTGTGGCTCTCATGCACGTGCACAGAGGGGCTCGGCCGTGTTTTGACCAATCAGAGCTGCTGATCAGAGCAGTGGTAGAGTCGAGCCAGAGCGGGAAGAAAAGGAGCAGAGTTTGTTGCAGTAACGTCAGTAAAGTTCAGGATGACAAGGGACACTAAAATCCCCACAAAATCCGATCTTTACTTTATGAAAGCTGTAGGGCGGCCTTGGTTCGAATCCCGGTCGGAACAGGGCCTTTCTGAGTGGAGTTTGCTTGTTCTCCCCGTGTCTGCGTAGGTTTCCTCTGGGTACTCTGGTTTCCCCTACCACTAAAAACATGTACAATAGGTCTGGCATGTGCCTCCTGTACTGGCAACCCCGCTCCCATCTCTGTGTGGAGTGAGAGGACAAATGCCCAAGAATAACAATTGTAAACTGCTTTGTTACTCGAGTCAGGTATGTTAAAGGCGGTATATAAATAAAGATTACTTACTTACTTACTACTGTCGGTTCTCTGTCAGCTGAGGTCATCTGTTTTAGTTTACATTGAGAGCTATGGGGGAAATTTCTGGGTAGCCCACGTGAATTTAGTCTGCAGTACCACGGGCGCCCCCTGTGCCCGTGGGTGGGACAGATATAAGCTAGTTATACCCTATCCAGTTATTATTATAGATCCATGGGTACGACACGGCACAGCGCAGTTATTTTACATTTCCACTTGGGTTGGATCTGGGGTACTTTTTTCGTACCACCTCGACTGTGGTTCCATTCGCGCCGAAGCGATACCATGAGGTGACGTCAGCCGACTGCTTTACACTGATTGGTCAACAAGTGTCGTCACTGGAAGCGACGTCCAACCCTATGGTAAAAAAAACCCAACCCCGCCATCTTTAAAACCTCCTCACTCCAGAAAAATGGAATCACACAGAAAGCCCCAAAAGTCAGCGTCCTGGTCAGTCGACAAGGTCCACACTCATTAGGCCGAAGAAAGAATTTAAAGGCAGCTCGAACGCATAACACGAAACGGGGTCTTCAGGGAGATCGCCCAGCTCTTGATTTGTGACTAGTCTGTGGTAATCGTGGAAATAACTGGTTAGCTACGTATCCTGTTGGCGCAAAGCTCTCACTGAAATGTATTTACTCGTGTAGAAGTTTCATTATCTGTTGCACATAGTGAGCTAGCTACATTTAAGCTAAAACGTCCTTCCTGTGCTAGTGTGCTGTATTTTGCTCTGTCACGTTTTTCATTTTGTTCAAACTTTGTTTATTGATTTTTGACAAAAGGTACAGTATATCAACACAGATGCACTGTACATCAACAGATGCATCCCTTGTGCAAACCGAGTACCTAAGATCAAGAAAGAAAATACAGATAACAAAAACCCTACTAAGACACACACACACACTCTAATATGTACAGGTACAAGCTGTGTTCTTATTAGTTACCTAATGATAGTTCTGCGAATAGGTGCGTAGCCCCTTAGGCTATGCTATGGGTAAACTCCTGAGGCACCTAGCCTCCGCCAGAGAGATCTTTAGATCGAATGCTCCAATCACGAGCCCGCTCCTCCTATAAATAGCCCCGCTCAGGCCTGCACCTGCCACTTTGAACTCAGGCAAAGCCAGGCTGGCCTGATGGGCCCGTAGCTAAGGGGCTACGCACATATTCGTAGAACTACAGTTACATTAGGTAACTAATAATTCTATGTCATGGTGCTACGCCCCTTTGGCCACGATATGGGTAACCATGCGTAGCCGTAGGAAGATGTACTCCCATCAGGCCAGCGTAGAGTGATTGGAGCCCTGCCCGAGATTCCCCCAACACCAACAAAGGTGAGCGGGCTCAGGGCAGGAAAAAGGAAGCGTGGGCAGTGTTACAGGGCAGCTTCTATCAATGACCTATCTATTCCAATGAAGGAATGGCAAATATCCCGCCCCTGGGGACCAAGGGCAGGCCGCAGCCTCAGGACGCCTCTACCAAGAGCTCCTGAAGGGGACAGAAAAACGCCGCCCTCGGGGAACCAAGGGCAGGCCAGAACCCCAGGACGCCTCTACCAAGAGCTCCTGAATGGGGCGGCCACACATAACACCAGACTGCAGGCTGCCTCTACCAAGAGAACCTCACGGTCAACCTCAATTCCCAGCGTTCGGAACGGAGGGTGCAACCGACCGTACTGATACGTCCAACAGGTATGACTGGGCAAAAGAAGAAAATGTAGCCCAGGACGAAGTAACGACTTTAGGGAGAAAAGCAGACAACATCCCCAGGCGCGAACTGAGGCTCCGAGCGGGGATTCTGGGAGCAGTCAACGCCTCCCTGGCCAGACGGGTGATGTTCCCTCGCCTGTCCTCGAACAATGCAGCTCGGAACCCCACGAGTCCAACTGCAGCCCGAGAAAAATCATGCGTTGAGCAGGCTGCAGCCGGCTCTTCTCCCTGTTCACGACGAAGCCCAGGCGCTGTAAGTGTTACCAAAACCCAGCGCGTGTGACTCGTGGTCACCTCTCTGGACGGGGCCAGAATTAACCCATCGTCTATGTAGGTTAAATCCTGACCTCTGCGCGTCTGAGCGGCTCCAAGGCCGCCTCCATGCATTTGGAGAAGGTGCGGGGAGCAGCGTGTAAAGCAGCGTGTAAAGCAGCTGGGAAAGGGCGATACTCGTAGCACTCCCCCCCCCTCACAGCGAAGCGCAGGAACCGCCTGTGTTCTGGCCCTGTCACTACGTGGAAGTGAGCATCTGTCAGATCTATGGAAGACCTCCCGTCTCCGGGTCTGACGCACTCCAGCTAAGCTGTTTAGTGGAGAGCATGCGGAATAGACGCTTAGAATTCTACGTCATGGTGCTACGCCCCCCTTAGGTCTTCGCTATGGGTAGCCCTAAGGGGCTATGCACCTATTCGTAGAACTACAGTTACATTAGGTAACTAATAAATGCACTCGTTTAAGGTGCGCAGGTCCCATATGGGACGCACTCCCCCTGTCTTCTTGGGCACCAAGAAGTAAGAAGAGTACAGCGCTCTGGAGGCGTCTCACGGGTCCACTTTGACCACCGCGCCCTGTCCCACCAGAGCGGAGGTCTCCAGCTGGGGCGCCTCCTCTGATCCACGCACCAGAGAGCGCGCCGCCCGAACGTCTTGGCACAGCGGCTGCCTCCATGCGAACTGCAGGGCATATCACCTGCGCATCGTCCTCTCCCACCCTGTGTCTGAGAGAAGCCCCCGCTCTCTCAGACGTGGTAGAAGTCTGTGCGCGGGGACAGGGCTAGGAGCACTTGTCCCGAGACCCCCGCCCCCTCCTGGTGCTCCCAGAGGAGAGGGGGGGTGGCCCAAAGGACAGGGAGCCCCCGTGTAAGATGCTGCGTGAGACACTGTCCCACTTATATCAGCCTCCCCTTGACCTTCCCGCTTCACTCCTTTCCGGGAGGATGAAGCGCTAGCGGTCAAGGCACTCGGGCTAGCGGTCTGAAGCAGCCGCTGCGGGCCTCTCCCCTCAGTCCACAGGTCCTCAGGGCCACCGAAGGGCAGATAGCCCCCGTGTAAGCCGCTGCGTGAGACAGAGGGGGTCACAGACCCCACTGTCACACTTATATCAGCATCTCCCTGACTTTTCCCCTTCACTCGTCTCCGGGAGGATGAAGCGCCAGTGGTCAAGGCACTCGGGCCAGCGGTCTGGATCAACTGCTGCGGGTCTCTCCCCTGAGCCCGCAGGTCCCCAGGGCCATCAGAGTGGGACTGCACTGTTCGTGAGACAATACCATCTACCTGTGAGGGCATGCCATGCAGTACCAACGGAGACTCACACATCACATAGGGGTTTACTCTCTTTTTATTGAAATAACCCCTGCCTCCCCGTCCTCCTCCGTTGTGAGGACGGTGTTGAAAGCGTTGCTCCCGAGCGCCTCCGAAGGTCCGCTCCGGACCCCGGAGTCTCGCTGGAGAATGGCGGGCCTAGCGTGTAGCGGCCCGCGGAGGAGCGGAGCTCCGCCTGGGAGACCGCTCTCTGTCCTGGTTGAAGCCCCTCGACTGCTGGCGGGACTCAGGCAGCGGGACCCGATATGATGCAGCTTGGCAGAGTCCTTGGCTGCGCTGTCAAGCCTGTCGATCAGCCACTGAGCGCCTGGCCCACGGAGAGAGATCTGTCCAGAGCCCCGGTGAGGAAGGCCCTGTTGCTATGACAACGCCACCACTTGAGCCGCGTTGGCATAGCATCTATCCTATACCGCTCGGAGGGAAGGAGCGGTCTGTCGTCTGGCCACACGGAGTACACGGGGAGCTGCGCCAGCCTCACCGCGTCCTTTACGTCAGGGATTGCGCTGGACCAAGACCAGTCCTACCCCAGGGCGGGTCTCTTGGCCCCCAGGGGTTTTGGGCCAGCCACGCGTGGCGTAATGGAACACCGGGTCCATACAGGGGCACAGCGTTGGCTCGAGCCTCTTTCTCCCCTGCTACAGAGCCCTCTCTCTCTGCCTGAGTGGGCTGTGGTGGGAGGGGGATTTCCCGGCGCCTCGCAGCTGAAGACAAGAGGCGGGGCATGTGGTCGCGCGGGAAGCGGTCTCGAGAGTGAAGAGAGAAAGAGACCCCTCTGTGCTCGGTCTCCCCCTACGCTATTCTCCCCACTCACGCGTGAGGCAAGTCGAGCGGGGCAAACGCCACTCGGACTCCTTCCCTGGAAGCAGTCTGGGCAAGCCTCCGCTGCGCTGGTGTATGCATCGCGGCGCTCTCTCACTTCCCTGGGTAGAGAAAGGCAACCTTCGCAGGCAGCGCTCTTCGTAAAATGGCGTCAGCCCAGGCAGGGGAAGCGGGGGGAAGCACCGAAGTGCTGGTCTCTGCGGTGAAGCCTAACTCCGTAACGCTTATCTTCTCCGTCCGACGCCGGAGGGCGAAGGGGAACTCAGACGAGTAGCAGAAGGCAGCGACATCTTGATTCTTCTGTGCAGAAAGTAGAGTGATCTCTCTGCGCCAAAGTTCAAAGTGGCAGGTGCAGGCCTGAGCGGGGCTATTTATAGGAGGAGCGGGCTCGTGATTTAATCAAGATGACTCGTCGTGCCAGAAGAGTCATAAAAGCAAGTGCAGATTTTTGTGAGCTAGATAAAGAGAGTCGCAAAGGAACAATGCCAAACAGTGTACTCAGAGGGTCAGGCGCTATCTGCTCACCAACAACATCAGACAAGATGGAAAACACTCTGGCCCAGAAATTAGAAAGTTGTGGACAGGACCAAAAAGTATGAATCAAATTTGCACCTGTCACATATAGGTAGTAAGTAGTAGTAATCTTTATTTATATACCACCTTTTCACTGCACATCGGAGTCTCAAAGCGGTTTACAATTGTGATTTTTGGGAGTGGGGTCACATGCTAGACCTAGTGTACATATTTTTAGTGGTAGGGGAAACCGGAGCACCCGGAGGAAACCTACGCAGACACGGGGCGAACATGCAAACTCCACTCAGAAAGGCCCTGGTCCAACCGGGATTCGAACCCAGGACCTTCTTACTGAGAGGCGAGAGTGCTATCCACTCAGCCACCGTGCCGAACTGGGATATAATTTAGCCAGACGGGCCTTAGTATAATAGATGTGATGTAACAGTTTGCATTGAATCAGACTTATTTATGAACTAAAAGCAGCTCTTTCACGTGTTACCATTCTGTTTTGTGCTTGTACTTAAGTTGTTGTGTGTATATTTATTTGTTTGAGAATCCCTTCCCACAAGTGAGGAGATTACCAACGAGTGACCAGAGTACCTCACTTTCCCTTCTGGACCTGGTCTCAAGAGACGTACGTACTTTGGACTTTGTAGATTGTTGGTTTTGCACTTTACTTTTGTTTTTAATAAATCTGTGATGGTATCAAGACTTTGTTTCACTCATTTGTCTGTACACATGCAGAAAAGGGGTTCAAAAGTTACTATTTCCTCCCTATACTTTACATTAAATACATTATATTTGTCAGTAAATCTGTATAACCGTGGTACATTTATGAACTAGGATGGAGACATATTTACTAAATACAAAAAGGTTTGATTTTTGGTCAAAACAAGGGCAAAATAAATGTTTAGGCATATGATTTTTATCATATATTCCCTTTTTACTTCTCTCTTCTTTTTCGAGTTGATACTTAGATTTACAATATACATGTATTTTATATAACTAAGTTATGTATGGAAACTCGAAATAAAAACATTTAATTTCAAATGGCAAAAAGTGACGCACCAGATCAATGTTACTAGTTGCCCATCACGCATGTGGTTTGACAACCCCTCCCACACTGAGAAACTTGGAGGTACCATTTTTGATGGAAAAGCACCCACACTCAGCCGCGCCATGCTGTGCCGTACCGTGCCGTGCCGTGACTATGGAAAAGCGGCAGGAGAGAAGCAGTTGTAAGAATTTGTGAATTAATTAATGGAGAGAAGTATTAGGCATACCAGTCACAGTAGATGAGGCAGCATAGCCTGACTCTCGCCAGACCCTTGTAGTTCGCTGTACTTCTAACATGGGTCTGGGTCTATTCCATTGCGGATACATTTCAGAAAATGAATCAAATGAATCATAAGACACTGATAATAGAACCTTATGACAAACGTGCTTCTTTAAAACAGTGGCTATTCCTGTGGCTTTACATGAACATTTGACTCTTAAAACACACATACAACAACATGGAACCATCAACATCTCGCCTCATATTGCATTAAAAGTGACATCTGCGTCTTAATTTGTTTGTATTTAAACTTTTTTTTAAATTCACGAACTTTATGTCCGCCATCTTGGATTGCTTTCGCTGCCGCTTGAGAAGGCGGTGCAAACCGGGCGTAACACCGGCAATCCTGATTGGCCGATTATTTTCTGATCTGCTGAAGGAGTTTGCTATGCGCTTGATCCCAGACCCTTGTGAGTGAAGCCTCTCATGGAGCAACTACAAGGGTCTGGCAAGAGTCAGGCTGGAGGCAGCACGCTTTGGCGTGCAACACTTGATCAAGTCACGCATTTTGGACTTTACCTGGGAATGGAGAGAGGAGCAAACTCACAAGGCCCAGCGAGGCGTGTGGGCAAACAGGGAGTGACTTCTTCTTCTTTCTGTGCATTTCCGGGAGGCTGCGCGCCAGTCGGCGAATTGCTGCCTTTCACTGGTGGACCCAATTACTGCACCTAAAGTCCACTCATGCCTTGTGCTCAGTAGCGCATGGGACTTCACAGAGTCCAAAAGATTAGCGGAACTCGTCCATATTTGGGCATCGTCTGGTCCTCCCTGTTTTGCGCAGTGAACGAGCTCCCTTGATGCGTTGCGCCAAATACGTGTGTGTGGCTCTCGTGCATGTGCACAGAGGGGCTCGGCCGCGCTTTGACATGGGATGATAGCGCTTAAATAGTCCACCAGCTCAGCGCCGCAGATTGTCGAGTAAGAATACCCTTGGCATAGACCACCAGACCTGGTCTTGGCACATAAGGATTTAAAAATATGGATAGCACAGTGACAAAACTTGTGACGTCACCCGGAACGGCGTATGCAAGCGTCTGGTGGCCGGGCTCAGCCCGAAAGGATGTTGTGGGCCAGCCCTCCTGTGGACCCACCACCCACAGATAGATAGATCAGAATCAGATCAGAATACTTTTTTTGCCATGTGAACTTTTTTTGCCATGCAAACAAGTTAAAGCAGAATAAAATCAAAAGCATGCATAAATAAAAATGTATATACATTTCTATTAACAATATACAAGTGCACTAGGTGCACATAATAGACCCTTTATAGTGCAGTAGAATGCAGTATAGTAGTAGTGTCAGAAACATAAAGTGACGGTCAAAAGGCCAGAGGTCAGTGATGGTTTATGAAGTGTTCATGAGTCCAGCAGCAGAGGGGAAGAAACTGTTCTTATGGCGGCAGAGCTGGTGCTTGCCTTGTTGGGGCCCTAAGCAGAAGTCAGCATAGGGGCCCTACACCTAATTCAAGAAACCATACAAATTAAAGCCCGCAGACGTTCCATTACACCTATATATCACAAATAAATAATTCACACTAATTAAGCAATATAAGAATTTATTAGTGATTGATTCAACACAAGAGAAAACAACATTTGAACTTTTCAAACACAATAAAAGATAAGATATAAGATAGACTTTATTGATCTCACACAGGAGAAATGTACATGTCACATTTGGCATAGATAGAATAACTCCGATTTGTACAAAAGACAGTGTGCAAACATGTTAAAATACAAAAATAAACAAAATACAAATATTAGTAATATATATAAACATATATTTGATATAAAATATAAATAAAAACTAGTTTCATTATTAACACCTCTAGTATTAGTATATTACCTTAATAAAAATATTAGTTGTGCATTATACTAACACTGTTATCTAAATTACAAATGTAACAAAATACTTCCGATTACCAAAGGAAGCACTTTTATTTTGAAGGTCTCCACCTTAACCACAACAGAGAGCTTGACTGATTAAGTTGTTTTGGGACTCGTTAAAACCAGAAATAAAACATGTCAGACACAATTTTGAACTTTCTTTGCAGACAGTCAATGCATCGGGTCGGCAACCACACGTTTTTTACCCGACTGTTCCCGCAGTTCGCTGTCTTTTTTTCCTTTTTTCATAACTCCGCTTCACAGCGTCTCAGCCTCTGCTCGGGGCTGTGCGACTGACAACAACAAGGTTGGAGGGAGGAGAGGGAGGAGAGGGAAGGGTTGAAAGTGCTACTTAAAGAAGCTATACCCGATTTTTTAGTAGTTCATAAAAATGCTTTTTACTACATACAAGT